AGGTCTGGGCTGCATTCACGGGCTGCAGATAATAGGACTTCCAAGGGAAGCCAGCTGCGAAATGAGTGCTCTCGAACCTGACGAACAAGGAGCATCCGATTACGCAGCAGTAAGGTCTACAGGCATTGCTGGGTATAAATCTGGCGAATTTGTTAACCATATAATGTTGCAAATCATAGCAGCATTAAGATAAGGTGGATGTTTCCCTCCTTCGAATAGTGACTGCCGGAGACCATGTCCCTAACAAGCCGTCTCATGCAACAGCTGTCCAGGAAACCACAGTTCAAGTGAGTCATTGGACGTCCAGAAGGTCGCAGTGTGTTCGCTTTGGTGGGACGTTTTGAGGGATGGTGGAAACGAGATGAACGATTTCCTACGTTGTCCCCATCAAACCCCGACTAAAGTTCCTCGAAGCATGGAACTCGACTGGGACCATGGTAACCGTAATGGCAAGCCCTAAATGATTACGAAAATTGCATCGATCAGTCTCATCGATTCTCCTCATTCCTAACTCTCTCCCTACGATGATATCATTCCATCGTACCTGTTTTGTCAGTACGGTAAACAATTACACAATTCTATACTACTGGCTGCCTGTTGGCGGTTTGTGAATATTACGCGGTTATTTCGCAGTAGCTGAAGCATTTCAACTCAAATATTCATATCAAATTTCGAACCGTGCCTGAAAAGGTCTGTTTCGAAAGAGTTACTCCAAGTTCGCGCATTAATTTCCTCGGGAATTAAACAAGGTAAGCATTCCATCTATTTTTCCAACGTAGTGAACATTGGTCATAGAGCTTCTCCGTCCGCCCCACCTAGCATCCGCGAACTCAAAATATTGATCCTAGCCCCCAACTCTCCAACCAATGGCGCGCGAAATACGTTCGTCCCAGTCACTCTGCCCTGGTTTGGCCGACTAAATACTCACCCTGTGACGAATTCTGGACTAGGAACATTGTTTTCAGCAGAGGACGATATTTTGTCTTCTCAGCCTTGCGAGAACGTTCGAGTCGGCCAACTGAAGTGCTCTCTGGGTGGCTAAGAAGGTCAAGAATTTGACCAACAATTATCAATTCACTCAAACAAACAGCCCGCCTTGCCGCGAAGACAGCGGACGCTTCACTGTCAATGTTGACGTCCAACAAGGTTGTGTCCTCCTGTGGAGGACGTCGACCTGTCCAGAGAATCCCCCCAACTACGAGGGTGTCCAGGTAATGCAAGACCTTCTCATATCTGACCTTGACTATGTCGACGACATCATTCCGAGTAGAAAGTGCCTCGAGGAAACGCAATCCGCCGTTGACCTCATAGGAGTAGCCTCCCAAAAATTCGGGAAAAAATTAAGTGCTGGGGAAAAAGTACGACTCGGTGGCATGATACCACATGAAGTGACCTACCTCCCGGATGGCGAGAAGCACGAGGCGGCCGAATACTCTGTCTACCTTGGTTCCTGTCTTGCATAGGAGCCAAAGTCGGAAGGAGAATAACTCGCCTTTGTACAACTCGCGCGAACACTGTCTGTCGACTCTGAAAATGCTCTCACCCTGACCACGAGGTCCAACAGAAGAAAAAGATTGCCTTGCGTGAGGTTACAGTCAAAGATCCCCTGTTCTACAGCTGTGAAACGTGGCTTTTAAGCGTCCACTGCTGGATGGGTGGCATCACCGAAGAATACAACGACTTCGGATAATGGAGCACTTTTAGAATGTGGAAAACGCATGATCGATCGGAGCCACCGCCTGATGTGCTACAATAAAAAGCTATCGTCCCAGATTATTCGATCATGCCCTCCCCGGACCCGGAGGGGAGCTCATTCGCGACGTCATCTCTCCAAACCACGGTCAGAAATGACGTCGACTTGGTAGCTGAATGATCTGATTAAGTCAGATTTGCGGTGCTGGGCCTGAGGGTCCTTGGTGTTGGAATTGAGGCGTCAGCAGAACAACGATCGCTAGGTCTAGCCAGCAATAGCAAGACATGCGTTGAGACGGCCGATGATGTCGTGGATTCTGGAGCGCGCTAACCCTAACTCTGATACTATCTGTTACAACTAAACTATTTCGCCAGACGAGTCGCTCTTAACAGTTCTAAAAGTTGCAAGAAAATTCTTTATTTTGAGGGGTCATTTGTTACCTTAACGCTAGAACATATATGAAACTCGATACAAGGATCGAATCCTCTGCCTTCATCAACTAAAACCCCGCAACCACGGCTCACGCGCGAGCAGAGGAGTGACAGAGCTTATGCCCGTAGTTTTGCGTACGTCCAGGCAATCGAAGTAACTTACAGAGGAGTCTTATATCTCGACAAAATGAGGCAAGTACAAGTTCCTAAGAAAGGCCGACATCAGATTTTGGCTAGAAAAATTACTCCATGAACATCGCCTAGTCAGAAGAACGCCTTTTAACGCTAAAATTGTTTCATATAAAAAGCAAACCAACAGTGGTGAACCCTCAGTGGGCACCGTGATAGTCTCAGACTCGGATCACACATGCAGCAGAGGAGCCACATGGAGAAGGAGCCGAGAGGCACACTTCTCACTTGCGTAGGAGGTGGCAATTGAGTGCTTGCGATGGGTGACGTTGTTGTGTGGTGCTGGTGCTGGTGGGGGAAGGAACGATGACGTGGTGTAACCGGCGGTCGTCAACCACAGGTTTTAATGAATGTGCATGAAGCCGTATAGACCCATTCGATGAACGAATGTGCGCGTGCAGTGAGGACAGTTGAGGCAGATGCGACGAGTGTAGGTTGATGCTCCAGGCACTGGTTCGCCAGCCTCCGTGAGATGGATTCGCGGTTGACCGACTAGGCCGATGTGTGAGGTGAATGTGCCATCGCAATGGGGACAGATACGTACAGAATCCACATCGCTGGAGGTGGTGATTATAACAGGCGAGGGGGCGTCCGATGTTGTTGGTGGAGCTGATGGCGCAGGGGTTGGGGCACGGCGGGTGATGCCGGTGATCGATGGGGACGGGGCAGCGAGTGTGTTCGGCGGTGACGGGGGTGGCCATCGTCGCGACGTTTTCGGCAGGGGCGAGTTTGCGTAGACGCTGTCCGGCTGTTGGCGAATTGTGTCCGAAGATGTCCTACGAGACTGATTGGTGTCCAGAACGCTCGTTGACTCCGTGGGTATGTTAGAAGAGGCTGAACGTTGGCATTGAGAAGTCGAGGCACTTGTGACTTGCAAGCCTCCATTTTGGCTTTGGCGACAAAGATACGATTTGCTTCGTAGATGGCTGTGTCGGTCTTCACTTTTCTTCTCCATGTCAGTCTGTTCTGAGCGAGGTCCTCCAAGGTCGCCCGGTTGATCTGCAGTCGTTTCGGAGAGTTCCGCAAAGTGTCCTTGTAACGCCGTTTTGTCCTCCTTGTCGACGAGTAGCCGTGGCAACATCACCATAGAAGAGTTGTTTTTGTAGACGTGTATCTTCCATCCTCACGAGATGGCCACTTCCACGTAGTTATAGTTGCCTCAACACGGTGTGAATGCTGAGGATTCCGGCCCGTTCTAGGACTTCCGTGTCGGGGATCCTGTCTTGCCATTTCAGGTTCAGTATTCTGCGAAGGCAGTTGAGATGGAAATGGTTGAGCTTCTTGGCATGATTAGAGTAGACGGTTCAGGTCTCCGCTCCGTAAAAGTGTCGTCAGGACGACGACCTTGTGCATTTTCCGTTTGCTGGAAAGTGTGTTTCCTAACGAAGTTGTCTACGACTTTGAGTTGGTTGCCGCCAACACTGATTCAAGGAGGAATGCTGTTGCGTTTTGGATGACGGTTAATGCATGACCACCGTTTTCTCCAGCTGATAGCCAGGTCGAAGTCGGCGCGCCCCGCGCTGGAAGTGTAGTGACTGATAGGACAGCCCCAATTGCATTATGTGGTATTTCGAGAATTTAGTACTATCCGGTGGAATTTATTCAAAGTTTGAACAAGAATTCAAGATGACTGCTGACCGATTTTTGGTGAGTGGCGGCAAAAACCGAACATCTAATTCCCTGTCCGCCAGTTTGGCTTTTCAGGGGGTTAATATTGCACTCCTTTGCCTCGGTAGCTGTACTTGGAGCGGATATTTTCAGTCTGAAATAAGACTGCCGTTGAGATTGATCGGAGGGTTCAGTGATGAAACTCGGCCACTGGAGAGGCTAAAAGTCCGCACATTCCCTGAGAAAAAATTGACGACCGTCAGCCTACGATGCCCTCAATGCCTCCTGGGTGTCGAAGGGGTTCAAGCATCCTCATAAGCACGTCGTAATAATCCTCTTCCAAAGGTCTGTAAAGGCCGCTTGGAAATAACCAACGGTCTAAACCCAAAGGAGCCCAATTATAAATTCCTAAGTCAGCCTTGCTTATCCACCCCATTGGCAATTGGCAATAGTTAAATTGAGGGACTCCAACGCTAACAGTAGTAAACCGTAACAGGAAACCGAACCACCCATGTACGAGTCTTGACTTTGGACACAAATTGTTGTAGCATATTTGGTTTGACGAATTATAATAAGCATAACCTCAAGCAGACATGCCGTAAGTTGCGCTTTTATACGGAAAATACGAGTATAAGCTGATGGTCGAGGAGCGACATGAGTAACAAAAAGATGCTCTCCCAAGAAAGCAGGTCGCGCGCATACCTGCGTTTCCAAGACAATGTGGAACATCTGATTTGGCTCACATAAAATCACAGGTGCTCCGTCGGCAGACACAAGTCTATTCAGTCCGCAGTTAACTTTCACTTAGAGGCTGGTTCAATCTTCTCGGGGTTCCCGTTGAGGAACCTAGCGTATTTTTCAAATCAGTGTTTTTCGGGATTTCCTCTGAAGCTTCCAATGTTCTACCAAAAAGCGAGAATAAAAATAACTTGTACTTTCAGAGCGCATGCGTACAAATGATACGACCGTCAATAACCGTTTGAATCTTAGGGAGGCTTGAACCCCACGTTGAGGGTAAAAGCTGAAATAAAGTTCCTCTGAGGAATTTGTGCCAAAAAAACTTATTAAATCCAGAAAGTGTTGGCGAACAGACGACAAGCACGCGTATCGATCTTCCCGGAAAAAAGGTCTTCCGCTTGGAATATATTTCTTCCCAAATGAAGAGTACTGCCGTGGACGATAGCCACAGATAGCCATAGAATTTATTTTTACTCTCCAAGCTGCCCCAATGAGAATTTGGCCAGAATTCTTTTTACCTTATTTCAACTAATCTGTTCAAACGTACTTGTCTGTGTAATAACAGTTGTTCTATGCCCTGCCCGACTTCATTTGGTAAGGCAAGAACGCTTTGCGAAATCAAGTGAGGTGCCCACTGGAAGGCGTGTCAGATCACAGAGGCATACTGCAAGACGCTAGAAATGCACCTTAATGGTCACGTCATGCTTCAGACTTTCGGACGTTGGCAAAACCGTTCAGACTTCAATCTTTGCGGGTTTTCCGAGAATGGCTCCAAAGTACGCACCCTATTACGTTCCTAAATGCTTTACATTACACTGCTCATGACTGAGTTGGTGTTTTGGAGTACAAATTTATAAATTGACGTAACGCGAGACTGAGGAGGGGTTTTGTTTAACGCCTTTTATCAGGTACTTGGTTGCTTTAAAAAGTGTTATGGCCCGAACTAAGCGCATCTGCATTTTCCTCAGGGTAGTCTATCCGTTTCTGCAGCAAAAAAGCAGTCAAGGACGTCACATTTGCATTCGCATTGCTCAAAACGTTCCCGACTTTCCGGCAACTCTTTCCATGGCTTCTTGGAAAGATCGCATCCTCCCAAAAATGGGACGCTTTGGTCTTTGCTCTCAAGTAACGAATTGAAACTGTGTGGTGTAACAAAAATGGCTTTGGAGTGCTAGTCACAAGTCTGTTTTTGTGAACGCTCTCTACAATGCAAACCTAGTGTTTGTCGTAGCGGTGTTAACAACGAACCCGTAGCAAACGAGACGGGTGGGGAATTTGGACTTAAAAGCCGTCCATCTACATCCAACTAGGCTTTTGACAAACCTGGAATTTTTAGAAAGCCAAAAGCCGTCCTGTCCTTACCGGGGTGGCTTGCCTCTGGTAGTGCATATAACTGAACCCCAATCCTGTTCCCGCCCCTTTAGTTTGACCTATCGAAGGTGAAAAGCTATTTTAGCGGGTGTTCGAATCATCATAAACTCCGCACCAACATTCCGAACATAAAATGTGATACTAAGGTCAGCAGGTAAATTACTTTTGCATATTGCTGCTAGGTCTACCTTCGGAAAAAGGAAACACACTAAATAAAGCCAGAAGTCAATTTACCGACATATCCAGAGGGAAGGGGTCTTCTAGCCGTTGTACTAACTTCTTAGGAGAAGAGCTTTGCGTACAGGTTAAAAAGCCTATGATATGGCATAGTTCCCAGAATAGGATAGACGGAGGTTTCAAACCACATAAGTGATCGCGCCAGATTTGATCTCCAATTGGCCCCACTCAGTCATGTCACTGGCACACGATCGAAAAGCAATGAGGGTGTGAGACGACCTTGCAAGTACTACCCTCCACTACCGAGTGTTTCCTTTCCTCATTATAATAAATTCTAAGAGTACTTGAGTCATCACTGCGCAGTAAAAGCCTTGAGTTAGCAGGCTGTCCATTCACAGGATAGCTTTTCTTTGGAATGTGAAGCGGACTGGAATGATGCCTCCTAAGATAGCATTCATGGCGACATTTTCTGATGTGGAGACCGAAATAATGAAGTAATATGTAGACAGGCTGGCGGTTCAACCATCACTCATGGAGATCTATCTGCTGTAGCACACAACAGTGACTGACGCCGTCTAATTTTTACGCCTATGCGTCCCCAAAGAAAATGAAGTGCACGCGCTAACTAGCCACTTCAGCAATAATGCCATCCGAACTACGCCTCCTGGTGGTAACCAGGCAAAAGACTTAAACGTGGAAAATGGAAGATTATGTAGATTTAAACCAGTATGCCCCGTCAGCTAATTCAGTAACGAAATTGAGTATAGCGGTTAACAAAGTGAGTAGAGTTCCCTGGTAGATCAGATTGCAGAGCATTCAACCAGAGTTCGAGAGATCGATGGTTCGACTCCGTCACAGGCCAGGTTCGTGGAATTCACTGTTTTCCAATAGTATGAACCAAAGCAAGTCTCATTTACATAACTGCCCATCTTCCGTGTATAAGGGGTCGTCGTGCGAGCAAGCAATAGATGTGAACTCTACCTTTTTGCCGAAAATTGTCTCAAGCTAACAGTTTTGTGCTCCACCCCCACTCTCTAGAGTGTTAAAGTTGTAAGGTTCGTAACAGTGGAATCGCTGGGCGCCAAAGCAGCGCTAAACACGCCCACACGATCCACGATTCTTCAGTAATTTTAGCCGCAGGTGTCAGTTGTCCGGATCTGGTGGGTCAAAAGCAAAGGTTTTTGGTTCAAGCCCCGTAACTGAGATCGCTAAAAATTCTGGGAACTTTTCATATTTTATCCGTGGTTTTAGGCCTATCGACTTACCTATCCTTATTTAGGACCCCGCAAGTATTAAGCATTAGGATATTGACCCATCCACAAACACCTCGGTCAGATGTGGTTATGTTACCCCACCTTAAGTAAACAAACCCCAGCCACCTATAGTACGGGACCGGTGGTAATAGGGGTTTTTACAGGTGGGGTCGGGAAACGCACAGGCGAGGAGGTCAAGTATTTGTAAGCAAGAGAAAAGCTATTGGGAATGCGTGGTTGTACTTTGAGTAATTGAGAAATAGTTACCCTAACCCCTAACCCTAACCACAAGCCCAAACAGTATTGTGTCCATCAGGGGGGAGGCTACATAACCACATCTTACCACCTCTACGGATTAACTTTAACTCATCGGAGGAGGATCGATTTGAGTTTAAAAGCATTATCGTTGGAAAACACGTGAATTGAGCCGTCACCTGTTAGCCACACTTCACTCGAAAGGTTCTGGGATGAGACATTTTTGTAGTTGTACGCATTACG